CGAGGAAGGGAACGCGCTGATTTTGGAGACCTCAAGGACAGACTGTGTCAGGGCCACCTCACGTGGCTATGGTGGCTGGGAGCAGGTGCATTAGGACTTGGAGCGAGTGGGGACCAGGACGGGGAGGGAGGAGAGGGTGATTCCCAGCCAGACTGCCAGCACGCATCAGCCTGTCACAGCAGGGGTGGCCTAGCAGAGGATCAGAGCATTTGCCTCCTGAGGAGAGCTGGCTGAGCAGGGAGTCCTGACAGACAGCAGTCCAAAGGACAGGCATGGCTTGATCCTCCCCTGGCACACAAAGGGAATACTGCTGCCAGCCTCCAAAAAAAGGATGCTCTCTCACTCATCAGCCACTTGCTGGAGAGACAATCCTGCCCGGAGATTGCTTTGCTAAAAATGGCACGTTTCCCTTCTTCAGGGCTTTCTATCCAAGGCCCTAAACAGGCTAAACCTCACTCTGAGCTACAGGTCTGAAGCTCTGCAACACCGGCGATCTGGCTGGGCGAGTGCTGCTGGGCAACACCGAGTTGTTGGAGAAAATCCTCGCTCCTGATGCCCAAGGCAAGGAGCAGCGCAGGGGACTACGTTTCTGTCCTCGTCTGCCAGATGGAGAAAGAGAGGCACAGCAAGGGGAAGGAGCATGTCCAAGGGTTGGCCAACCGATCAGTGACGGACCAAAAGTAAACTCCCAGAAACCTCTGCTCCCACTTACCTCCCAAAAACAACACTGTTCCCTGCACCCAGTCCCTGCTGGGTCAACCCAAATCCCATACCCTCAGCCCAAGGCCCCGTGCATGCCCTGCAGATGCAGCCGCTTACGTACCCAGCTCTGCGCTCTGCTGTGGGGTGGCCGCCTCCTCGTTGTTGGCCTCGTTAGCCATGGAGCGGGTGATGCGGCCTTTGCGCCGGCCCTGGCTGTTGGCAGTTTTGCGTCCTTTGGAAGCAACGGCTTCTTTTTCGTCGTTATCCTCCCCAGATGTGTCGTCATTCTTCTCCCTACGTGGATGGGAGAAATTACTATTGGACTCTCTTTCTTTCAGGGGCTTTTTCCTTTTTTTGCAAGGAGGGCACTTTCTCTGCTCGGGGTGGTTTGGTTGGGGGTTTTTTGTTTTTTTTTTGTGGTTGTTGCTTTTTGCAGATGGATGCAGTTCCAGGACCAAGCGCGCACAGAGACCTGACAGAAACAGGTTTAATGCTGGGCCATTCAAATTTATCATCCCCTCCTCCTCATTTATCTTCCTGAAAGGGACCTGCTGGTAAATGTCTAGGCAGGCTGCATATAATGAAGCCAGATGTTCTTTTAAACCAAGTATTAAGCCCATTACAGACAGCTAGCAGTCTGCCTGCCAACCTGCCTCGGCAATGAATCCGCAGCTCCCTGTTAAGCTGTGATTGTGTCAGGCAGGAGGCAGGCAGAGTTATCAACCTGGCTGGCTCCCTTGATCTGGAAGATCTCACATTGACATCAATAACGCTAAAGGTGAAGCTCAGTGCTCCGCTTGCGTTCTCAGAGCCCGCTTGAGCATCTCTTGCAACAACAAACCGATGCCAGGCATCAGAGCGGCTTTGCGGGTGGATGGAGTTTAAATCAGTAGCAAACAAATTAGCAGCTTGGTTCGGGAGCTCTCCAGATGGGGAGGGGAAAGGGAGGAGGAGGGAAGTGCATAAAACAACAGATTCTCTCTCCTTCGCCAGCAGCAAGCCTAGCCCACTCAGTGCAAGGAGCTGAGAGAGGGGCATGCAGCACAGCCGAGGGAACCTGCCAAGGGGTCACCCCACACAGGGCTGGGAGCCCAGAATATGCTAGATGCACTTCAAAGCAATGACAACTTCACCCCAGCTCCCCGTGCCGCAGGACCCTGGGACAGCAAAGCAGGGTGTATAAGGACGATGCCTTCCCAGCCCGACGCAAGTTTATGCCGGGGAGGAAGGGAAGAAAGCAGGGAATGTACTTACTTTGTCAGTTCTTCTTTGTCGTTTTCAGACTCCTGCTTGTCTTCCTCCTTCTCAGCCTCCTTCTCCTTTTCCTTCTCTTTTTCATCCTTCTCTTCTTGGCTGCTGCGGGGCATCTGCTGCTGCTGCTGCTGCTGGAAAACATGGGACAATTAAGCACAACAGAAAAGTGTCGAGGTGGATAAATCTCTGCACCTGGGCTGATCCGAACGAGCGCGCGCTGACACAATGCTGAGGGGGCTGGCGGCCAAGCGGGAGAGAGAGGACGCCTGCTGGAAGCCTGGCATGGACATCTGCAGGCGGGGGGCAGGCAGGGTTACCACTGGCCGGAGGGCCACATGCGGAGATCGGAGCTGGTTGGCACTTGTGTCCAGCTCCCATTACAGTCCTTGGAAAGATTCTTGATGCCTATCATGGGAAGCCGACTCGTTCCTCACTTGGATCAAAGAGAGAGAGGCACAAATTATCTCCCTCTCAGGCAGGAGGAAGCCCAGGAAGAGCTGTCATGGTTCCTTGAGATGGAGACTTTGCCCGCTGGCAGCAGAGACGCACCCAGGACCAGGAGGGAAGCTATGGGGCTGCAGATGACACAAACTCTGCCCTCCGTTTCAAACACCGCACTGGTTGTTGTGGGGGAGCTGACTTGCCTCTGCATCTCATGGGTGCGAAACAGCACAGGGGACCGAGGCCAGGGTTCGACCTCACCTCTCGGCCCCAACATGCTGCTCGGCATCTCCCCGCAACTCCCTCCTTTGCAGAAGCTTGCGCTCAGACCCACTGAAACGCGAGCGGGTCTGCTCGGGCCAGGCGCTGCGCATTCCCAAAGGGGAGGGCTTGTTTTGAAATGGTGCTGGGTGTCACCTCCCAGCTGCAGGAAGGAGGTGGCGGGGGAGGCCCGATCCCCATGACCTCCCTTCCCTCTAGCTCTTATCGAATGGATTTCAGAGCACGCTGTTTCTACATTCGAGGCGGAAATGATTTAATAACACCCCCCCGCTCCCCGGCCAGCGCAGGGCCATTTCCTATAGTAAATCCACCAGCGTTGCCCAGCCTCCTCCTGAACAATGGGGGCTTCCACCGCTTCCTGATAGGAAGAAATCTCAAACTGAATTAAACCAGGAGAAAGGCTGATGCTGGGAAGCCTGGCCCGAGAGCTGTGCAGCTGTGAGGAGGGCCCTTTATGGCCGCAGTGTGCTTGCCTTTCCTGAGCAGGGGAGCTGGACATCACCAGCTCTGCGAGGCACTGTCTGCACGCACCAGATGTTTGCCCCCCTCCGGGGATGACGGCTAAAATTAGACCTGCAGAGCTGTAAATACGGGATGCAGAAGGACCAGCAAGAATGGCTCTTACTCTTCCAGGCCCCAACTCAAAGTACTTGAGAACTACACACCACAGTAAGTACATATGCGTGAGCCACACTGGACATGATCCTTCGCTTTTCTGGGTTAGGAAGATGCAGCATGGTATTTTACATGATCCTTATTAACCAGAAAGCAAGTGGCAATCGGATGCTGAGGATCTGATTCTGCACCGTCTTGCTTCTCTCCAGTTCTCCAACCCACTTGAAGGTCTGGTGCAAGCCCCGGCCTGGGAACACAAGAGGTGTCTGGAGCAGACCAGCGCTTCTCTGCCAAAACACGGGGACCTCCCACCAGCCATCTGAAACGGCTCCAAGTCATCAAAGAGCCTGGACCCAGCAGTGAACTCGCCATAGGGGCAGGATGAAAGGACTTAAGGTCAAAGCCCAGAGAGAGAAGTGACGCACTGCCCTTGGAGAGCACTCCTCCACCCCCCCAAAATGTGAAGGCAGCTTTCCTTGCCCGATTCCTTTTCTGGCCATTGGACACGGGCACATCCAAAGCAGCTGTTCAGGTACCAAAACGCTACGTCTGACCATGGATGCCAAACCCCAGCTGCAGTGATTTTGGAGAGAGACGGGAGGAAGGGGCTGTGAGGCTGGCAACCGGCAGCCATTCAACTCAGGGTGCTGGCTGCAGCTCCCTTCAGGTCACTGCGGCTCAGGTTTGCCACTGGCCACACAGGCAAGCTGGCACTGGATAATGCTGAGATCGAGCCCAGAGCCACCGCAGGAGCGACTCTCCTGATGGCCAAAAGGGCCTCACAGGAGGGGTCTCCCACACCACATTACACTTAAGGAAATGGCTTGGCTTAAAAATCAGCTTCCAAATACAATTAAAAGGCACAGAGGCCTCTGCTGCAGGTCTGCGGCAGTCGCACGAGCTCCACAGCACCTCGTGCCTCCAGGGCACAGAACGGCTGAATGGCTTGGGGGGAGCAGGACCAAATCTCTCTTTTGCTCGCCCCTCTTGCCTTCAGGGCTGCCAGCAGCTCGTCCCCACCTCATTTGCTCCCTTACGGCCACGCTGCCCCCCCGAGCAAAAGCAGCCAGTGTTGCAGACGACGTGTGCCCGTGGCACCAGGTGCTGGCTCCCTCCCCAGACGGACACGAGGGCAGGCAGCGGAGGGCAGAAGTGCGGAGACGGACAGTAACTCTGGCTCTGACCCTGGCAGCACTCTGCTGATGAGGGAAGGAGCCAGCAGGGCTGTGTTATGTCCCAGTGACCCAGGCCATGCCAGCTGCCACTAGAGACACGAGGTCCCTCTCCATGAGCCAACCCAGCCGAACTCCCCAAACGAGCTCCCTCCGCTGAGCGCAAGGGGAGAACGTGGCTTCTTAGTCGCTGCCCGTTCGGAGGGTCCTGGCAGGACTCAGATGTGGGTTGAGCTGCAGCAGCCCCTTGGAGGGGTCCAAGCCCTTAGCATTTGTATCATGGTGCCCCAGTCCTAGGCCTGGACCTGCCAGTGCTAGGCTGTGCAAAGAAAGAATAAAATGGAGACCAAGAGCTCTCCACTCTCAGCTCAGCACTGCAGCAGATGAAGGTATCCGCAGTCCTGGGGCTGAGATATAACCTGTCCCATAACCCCATCCTGCTCCCCCCAACCCAGCATACACCCCAAAGCCGGGAGCAGGAAGACCTCAAGCTGCTCCCGGGTCTGCAGGTGGGAGCTCACTGAAGCCCAGCTGGAGAAGGACCCAGGCCAGCAGAAAGCCTGCTTCACCCAGGTCGCACAAGCCCATCTGCTTCATCTCCATGCGAGCGGGCAGGCGGCTGGCTGTGGGCACAGGGAAGCTGGCCTTAGGCTGTGCCAAAGTTGCGTGTGCAGGAGGAAAATGGGCTCCAGCTCCAGGGAGGGGAACGTACCGAGTTCTCGGCTCCAGAGGTGAGGGGCTGCCATGGAGGACGGCCGCCCCCTCCTGCCCAAACTGAAGCATCTGTGAGGATGGCGACAAGACAACAGCAAACTATCTCCTGATCTTGCAACGGCGACAGCTGCTTCAGCAAACCACCTGAGTTTCCCAGCAGCACTTGCAACCCATGGATCAGGGTGAGGCAATGAGGTGCTCCTGGGGACACACCTGCCCCCCTTCTCCATCCTGGCTTCCCCCTGCTCGGGCTGCAGGAACAAAGAGATCCTCCCAGCATCTCCTCGTGGCCTGTGTGCGGGGAGAGAGCACCACGGGACTCATGCATGTGCTTTCCCTTTGAACCCCAGCCCCCGGATCAGAGGGAGGGAGGGGAAGGATTGTGCAGGGGTTAGGGCTGATGCCTGGAGATATATGGGCTTGACCTCTGCTTTGCCACAGACTCCTTCCGTGACCCTGGGCAAGGCTCTGTGCCCCAGTTTCCTCATTTGTATACATGGGGATAATGGCACTCCCCTACCTACCACACAAGCAGTAATACATTCAGACCGTGAGGCTCTCGGGTACCACAGAGACGGGCAGTATATAAGCACCTGAGATGCACGGGCACCTATCAGCTCCTTCAGACTTGAAAACATCCACGCATGGCTTGAGTCTCTGCCACAGCAGTAGAAACACATGGATTGCAAGGGCTGGGTCCCTGGGGGATGCCTCCTCCTCACCTCCTCTTGTCTTTGCACTTGTGCAAACCTGTGGATTGCAATCCTTCAGGTAATTGCAGCTCCTCCCCAGCACCACATCTGGGACGGGACAGATGATCGGAGCACGCTGGGGCCAACAGACAAGATGCGGAGGCTGGAAGAGGGGGGAAAGGCCCAAGCAGCAAAAGCAGGCACTGAAATATGCTCATGCACATACACACAGCCCAGCCGCAACCCCGAGACAGCTGCAACTCCATTGCACCGGATCTTTCCAAAGGAAAAACAGGACCCTGACTTAACTAAGCACCCGCCAGCCAAGTGCAAAGCAGTTTGGGCTGTCTGAACTGCTCTGCCCATACTGCGAACTTGACTTGGAGAGGGTCAGAATAGGAGGCGATCTGGGAGGGCAGCAGCAGCTATGACTACGCTGCCCTGTCCCCCCTCTCAGGCAGCATCTGTCAACCCCTTCCTTGCAAAAGGGAAAATACCGCTGATTCTACCAAGCTGTGTTCATTTCCCCTGGCTGCAAAAGGGCGCCTGGCTCAACATCTCATCCAATCTGGTCACCCTAGCAGATCTCCTGAAGATGTAACGGCCCATGCCGTGGATCCACAGCACAGGAAAGGCATAGCGCAGTCCTCGGAGCACACCCAGAGCATCCTGCAAGGGGATCAGCTGCAATGATAAATGCCGCACATCCCCAACCCGCTGCGCGTGGACTTGGTGGAATTCAATGGGCTGGACTCGAAACCCACCAAGTCTCGGCTTTGAGCCGAGCACAGATTAATCCTGGCTGCTTCAGCACGTGTGACAGTACTGTACAGCTGTGAGGAGAGCGTGGCAGCCGCTGAGCACGTGGAAACTTCTGATGCTTATTATTTCAATTGTGGTAGTGCCCAGGGTCCTTGGTCTAAACCAGGACCCTGGTGTGACAGGTGCTGTGCAAAAAAGGATGGCCCCAGAAAACCAGAGAAGTAGGACAATGCTGGGCAGCCAAAGACACGTGACAAATAAAGGGTCCGGTGCCATCAGATCCTCCAAAACACAGAAGGAAAAAAAAAGAGGAAGAGGAGTGGAAATCACCGCAGGGGAACACCTAGAAGAGCCTGAGGCCTCTCCGTTCCCTGGCCCAGATCCATGCTCTCCTTCCCCTGGCAGCGTGTTTCCTAGCACTGGCTGTGACTCAGAGAAGAGGACACAATTCCG